TAAATACTTATTTATTCTTATTTATATAATTTTATTTTTTTGAATCGTTACGGTCCTCAAGCTATAAATATTGACGACAATCCTTATATTAGACACCTCATCATTATAAGAAGGTCAACTTTCACATATAACAAATAAAAAATTCATATTTGTATGCTATAACAAAGTTTGCATAATTGCGCTCCATAACAAACATAAAAAACTATATAATTCGCTATACATATACAGTTGAAATAAATTGTATAAAACGAAGTGTATAAAACAAGAAAGAGAAAGACATTTGGACAGAGAACTGTATAAAAATGAAGTGTATAAAACGAATTGTATTATTACAAGTGTATAGAATGATTATATACAATTTGAATTTGTATAAAATGAGAAAGAGAGAAAGACAAAAGAGACTTGACCAGGAATATACAATTGAATCAAATTGTATAAAACGAGAAAGAGAGAAATTAGATACAATTTGAAAATTGTATAAAACGAGAAAGAGAGAAAGGCAAAGGAAACTGGGCAGGGGAGTATTTCTATTGTATAATTAGAAGTGTATAGGATGAAAATATATGTACTTGCATGTATGTATATAATTTTCTCACGCTTTATACAAATAGAAACATAATTTATACATTTTGCTTCTGTTTGTATAAGTGAGAAAGGCGAGGGTGGCGAGCGAGATTTGAGAGAGTGGCAAGCGAGATCTGGAAGAGGGGAGAGAGGGGAACAAAAATATATGTATTTATACAATTTTTCTTTGCTTTATACAATTAGAAACAATTTTTATACACTTGTGTTTATATTAAAAGTGAGGAAGCGAGCGAGAGATTGGAGAAGAGTGGCGAGCGAGATATTTGGGAGAGAGGTATCTGACAATTTTTTGCAAACGTTTGCTATGGAGCACAATTAAATCAAATCCTAGCTACTTCCTTTATAATAATCACAAATAGTGATCAATAAATAAAGCTTTATAATCGTGAATCATCATATCCAAAACCATATTAGGTATGCCGCTAGGCGAATTAATTAATATTTTAAAAAAAATATTTTTGGCGGTTGTCTTGATTGAGGAGAAGTTGTCATAGTTTGATTGCAATTGAACTATAAATTTTTATTAAAATTGGAAGACATATATAGAAATCCTAATTTAGATAGAAGTAGATATTTGAAGAATAAATGGATTGGGATTTAAGTACCGCTTAAATTGTTTTTGGCTTTTGTACATAAAAAAGAAATCCAAATTTGATTAGAATTTGATATTTGATGTATAAAGGGATTGGGATTGAATTCTCTGCCTATTTATATCAACTCGTTTTGCACCCTATTAATTATTCATACAAGTTTAAAGGATTTCGGAAGCATCGCCTGAAATTTTTTGATCTTAGCTAATTAATTACTCATTCTTTCTTCTGAAACATGTCGTCGTCATCGTTGAGAAGTGCCAAATTGTTGTGTCTGTTTCTGCTGTTGGGTTGCATAGGCATTGCTGCTGCCACTGCAACCGAACCCAAAACAGAACCGTTTGATACTTATTCAATTGGATTGTGGCCCCGATGGTGGTGGCGTATTCACCCAAAAATACCATCAGCACCAACTCCATCTCCAATTGATAATGCGGCTTCACCAACGCATATGGCTCCATCCCCAGTTGATGACGTGGTTTTGCCACCACACACGGCCCCTGCTCCATCCACTTCTTGCACCAAAGTGGACAGTTGTGCATTAGATTTGATCACCTCCGTTTTCAATCGTAGAATTTCATTATCCACTCAATGCTGTCAAGTACTTTCAACGATTTCAGATGATTGCTTTTACAGAGAGTACACACTCAAAGAGGGTACCATTTTTCCTTGGAAAAGTGAGGAACTATTGTAGTCATGCGGTTGATAATGCAGCTCCATCTCCATCTCCCGTTGATAATGCGGCTTCACCAACTCACGTGTCTCCATCTCCGTCTCCGGTTGATAATATGGCTTCACCAACTCATGTGGCTCCATCTCCATCTCCCGTTGATAATGTGGCTTCACCAACTCATGCGGTTCCATCCCCATCCCCGGTTGATGATGTCGTTTCTCCATCGCATATGCCTCCCTCTTGGGGCCCGGCCCCGGCTCCAACCACTTCTTGCATCAAGGTGGACGGTTGTGCGTCAGATTTGATCACTTCCGTTTTCAAGCGTAAAATTTCATTATCCACTCAATGCTGCCAAGTAATTTCAACAATTTCAGATGATTGCTTTTACAGAGAATACACACACTCGAAGAGGGTACCGTTTTTCCTAGGCAAAGTGAGGAACTATTGCAGTCATCATCATGCCTGAAGCAGATATTTTCTTTTTTATTTTTGTGGTCATTTAGCTTATTTATATAGGATTTCCCCTTAAAATGTTTTTAGGCGTTTGTTAAGTACTTTCAATTAAATTCTTTAATTAGTTCAGTTGGATCTTTATCTCTATTTTGCAGTTTAATTACTACTCTCTCGTTGCATATTTATTTGTCCATGTTTGACTTGGTACACTCTTTACAACTCATTTGCTATATCACTTCATAATATTAGCTATGGAACACATCCTTTAACTTATTCGCAATACAATAGGCATATGAATCAACTATTAATCCTCATTATACATGAAAGAACTACAAGTCTGATACTAAATACAACAGACACGATGGAAAAATAAAACAGATTATTACATTATTTTGATCGACTTCCTGAAATTCAATAGTACAAAACAAATTAAGATTGCATCTCTGAGAACAGTGAATAACACAACAAAATACCATGAGAGGAATTTGAGTAGAACAGTCTCAATTCAATCTCGAAAAGAAAAGAAACGAAAACATGTTTTAGTCAAAGGAGGTAACAATTACAAAAATTGTAGCGGAGCAGTGAAAGGCGGAAGGATGTTTTTCTGTAAAGTGAGACAGTAGCAGAGCAGAACAGAGGAGAAAGTTTTATTAAATAGTTAAGTATCAAATTATCGCTAGCTCGTGAAGAGAATAATTGTATAGAAATTGATGATTCATATACTAGCAATACCAACATAAACACAATGCTTGTATTTAAAAAAAAAAATCTAGTCTCTACAAACGCGCGTTTGGAGGTTTTCAACATAAATTGTCAAATGATTATGATTGTGAGGTTTCATGATATCAATAGGGGATCGACAAGGCTTTCTACATAGATTTCTGCAGCAGCACACTCCTCAAATTGATCAGCAACCTCTACTTGTCTAGTTGAACCGTTATATGTCATGATAGCGGGGGGAAGTAAAAGTAAAATTTCATCCTTATTCGACTTGTAACAAGGTACGGAGAAAATGGATGTAAAGAATATAAACTCCCCAAGGTCTTTAGGATGATTGATAGTGAAAATCTTATTCCATGATACTTCATCTCCAGAATCTTTCATAATCCACACATCGGAATTAGTTCCTTCGATACAATTAAGACAAAGCACCGAAAGATGACCTCCCACCACTCCAAGTGCCAACGGATAACTACTTTTCCCATAACTATCCGGAAGCTCCAACCTTCCCCACGTCTCGTTTGCTAAATCAAGAGAAATGATGTTGCACATATTGAACGTATCAACATCAGCTGATAAAGCCCAATAAAGCTTTCCATCGATAAATTTACTTGGAGAATTTACTAGAAAATTGCCCTGAAACTTATTAATTGTTCTCCAAGAATCAGCCCTTAAACTGTATACGTTGACTACGGTATCATATGAACCATTATCCTCATAAATACACTGAATAACTACCACAGTGTAATCATCACGTGTTTCGTCATATCCAAAACCATATTTCAGATGGTAAGAGCAACTGTTCTTTAAGTTAGCTCCAAATGCAGGCAATTTCTTAGACTTGTTAATAGCGGGGTTCCATAGAACGGGCTCCTCTATCTTACTATACAGACAAATCAATCCATTGACAGAACCGACACTCCAAGTATAAATAGTGGGGTTTTCCATGGGAGAACCAATGTCAAATAGCTCGGTGCCTCGTTCTTTGTTAAGCATGGGAGGGAGACAACATACCTTAAAATTGCACGCGGATTCTTGAAAAATAATCCTGTGATGGCTGTATTCTTTGTCATTAGCTGTTAATTTCAAATGATCTTTTATAAACTTTGCGCTGGAGATTAGTTCAAGCCATGATTTTGAAACACACGTGAACTTCAAAAGAGACTTTGGTGGCACTTTCAAGAGAATCTCTACGATGATTTCATGAGGAAGAACAGAGATTATCGATTCATCCATAAGTCTTATGGTGCAGCTTTTGTGTGTTCTTTTTTGTTAGTATAATAACAAAAATAGTCAAGGTAGGGGGTAAGGTTTGCGTATACTTATGATGTTGTAAGGTGAAGAAACAAAAATAGAAACTTATATCGAAAAGGAAACGGCTGATGGATCTATCCTATTAGACATGACTGAGATCCCCAAGCTACGCGGTGAAGAGATCAATGTTTTTGGAAGGAAATGGTCTGTGATAACAACATCGTTCACTTTTTTTCTAATTGTTTTCTGGATTTTATATCATAAATAATGATTACTAATGATATGGAAGTCTTTGTACTTCAGGACAAATGCTAAGGGACAATTGTCTAAACATTTTTCAAAAAAGTTGTTTTGGGCGGTTGTCTTGATTGAGGAGGAGTTATAGTTTGATTGCAACACATTCTTGAACTATAATTTTTTATTAAAATTGGACGACTGGACGTCCTAATTTGTATAGAAGTAGATAGTATTTAAAGTATAAAAGGATTGGGATTAATTAAGTATGGCTTAAATTGTTTTTGGCTTTTGTACATAAAAAAGAAATCCAAATTTGGATAGAATTTGATATTTGAAGTATAAAGGGATTGGAATTGAATTCTCTGCCTATTTATATCAACTCCTTTTGCACCTTATCAATTTTTTTATACAAGTTTAAAGGATTTTGGAAGTATCGCCTGAAATTCTTTGATCTTAGCTAATTAATTATTCATTCTTTCTTCTGAAACATGTCATCGTCATCGTTGAGAAGTGCCAAATTGTTGTGTCTGTTTCTGCTGTTGGGTTGCATATGCATTGCTGCTGCCACTGCAACCGAACCCAAAGCAGAATCGTTTGATACTTATTCAATTGGATTGTGGCCCCGATGGTGGTGGCGTATTCACCCAAAAATACCATCAGCACCAACTCCATCTCCAATTGATAATGCGGCTTCACCAACGCATATGGCTCCATCCCCAGTTGATGATGTGGTTTCGCCACCACACACGACCCCTGCTCCATCCACTTCTTGTACCAAAGTGGATGGTTGTGCGTTAGATTTGATCACTTCCGTTTTCAAGCGTAGAATTACATTATCCACTCAATGTTGTCAAGTACTTTCAACGATTTCAGATGATTGCTTTTACACAGAGTACACACACTCAAAGAGGGTACCATTTTTCCTTGGAAAAGTGAGGAACTATTGTAGTCATGCGGTTGATAATGCGGCTCCATCTCCATCTCCAGCTGATGATGTGGCTCCTCCATCTCCATTCGATAATGCAGTTCCATCTCCATCTCCGGTTGATAATGTGGCTTCACCAACTCATGCAGTTCCATCCCCATCCCCGGTTGATGATGTCGTTTCTCCATCGCGTATGCCTCCCTCTTGGGGCCCGGCTCCGGCTCCAACCACTTCTTGCATCAAGGTGGACGGTTGTGCATCAGATTTGATCACTTCCGTTTTCACTCATAAAATTTCATTATCTACACAATGCTGTCAAGTACTTTTTACGACGTCAGATGATTGCTTTTACAGAGAGTACACACACTCAAAGAGGGTACCATTTTTCCTAGGCAAAGTGAAGAACTATTGCAGTCATCATCATGCCTGAAGCAGATTTTTTCTTTCTTATTTTTTTGGTCGTTTAGCTTATTTTTATAGGATTTTCCCCTTAATAGTTTTTTAGGCGTTCGTTAAATTCTTCAATTGGATCTTCATCTCTATTTTGCAGTTTAATTACTACTCTCTCCACGCATATTATTTGTCCATGTCTAACTTGGCACTTTATTATATACTATTGATAATGTTAACTATGGAGCACAACCTAGACATATCAATCAACTATGCATGCCTTGGTCCTAATAAAGTTGAGTACAGTTATATGAATCTTCCGCAACTATTCCTTTCTATTCGACCCCAAACATCCCAACAAATTAATTGATAAGAAGACTTACCATGAGAATTTTTACACTAGCTATCAACCTGCCACAGTCTAACAACCTACAACAAGACTTTGTCAACTCGGTTGTTTTTTTAAAAACAAATAAACTGAAAATCGAATTCCTAAAACTTCTGATTTGATGCACTAGTTTCTGAATAGTTAAATAGGTTCTGAGCATCAAATTTCTTTATTCTGGCTGCAATGCTGTATTTTGATTATTAGGACATGCATTACATCAGTTCTCGCAAGTCGTCTTCCTGAATCAGTCTTGTAAAGTAGAATTAGACGATTAACTCAGCCAGATTGAGTTTATGCTGAATTACTGATCCAACAGTGGTGTCTGCTATTAGAGTCTGGTTCTATAAGGTTGAATATCAGCTTTGTCCACCGTGAGGCGACCCCTGATGTGTCATGGTAAGGCTGATAAGGTGTAGTATTGTTAGCTAGCAACAACAATACATAATGGTGATGCGCGGTCAAAGTCCAACTTGCACTTATCTTGAGGCGTAATTTTTCCTGCTTTTGTTTAGATAGAAGCCTAAGTTTATGGTGATGTTGATACGTTCAATATGTGCAACGTCATTTCTCTTGATTTAGCATACGAGACATGGAGAAGGTTGGAGCTTCCGAGTTATGGAGATGGCGATTATCTTATGAGACTTACGAGTGGTGGGAAGTGATCTTCCCGTGCTTTGTCCTAATTTCCCTGAAGTAACTAAAACTGATGTGTTGATAATGAAAGATTATGGAGATAAGGGCGACTCAAATATATCAGTGACCTAAAGCCAAAATTGTACGGAGAGTCTTAATTTTTATCTGCTCCTGAGTATCATGGAAAGAGATTTTCACCATCGATCATCCTAAAAGATTAATTGTTGCTAAATATGTATTTTTTTACGGCAATTAACACTCTTTGTATATGTCCCTAAAGCTTTTAGCGACATTAGTTCTAAACTTCTAATGACACTTAACTAATATCGATAGTGAATATGGATGAAATTTTACTCACCATACCTTTTTGCCAGTCAAATATGTGTGAAATTATGAATGATTCAACAAGACAGATGCAAAAATCTATCTTCTAAGAGTTTTACTTTATTTTAGCTACCGTCACTGGCTGATCCTATTAGACTACGATTTTATAAGAACATATTCTTCATATTAATAGGCGAAACAACCTTTCTATCTACTTATTTTAGTCTAGGGAAAAAAATATATGTTATCCAATTTGTTCAAATGTCAAAATAAAACCATAAAATCATACGACAAAATTATTAAAAAAAAAAAAAGGCCATTGGCAACTTTTCTTTCAAAAAATAACCAAATTATTGGATATTAGTCATAGCCTCATTATTTCTTTCAATTTTGTCATTAATGGCTTTTTCTCCCTTACTTCTCCTCCTCCTTCATCATCTTCTTTTTTCTTTTTCTTCTTCGTCATCTTTTTCTTTAAGTTCGATATATCGAAAACGTGAATCGTTTTGAGGAAATTATATATCGAAAGAGTTGAAAATCGAAAGGATTTCATATCTGAAATTTGAGATGTCTAGAGGTGATTTTAAGTTGAATGAAATTGAATAGTCAATGTATACTTCATGTATAGTTCCTGTATACATTATCTATAGTAAGTTATTTTTCATTTTTTTGAGTATATCATAATGTATAGTCATGAGTGCATACCTTATGTATAGGTAAACTATATTGTATAGTAGTGTATACTTTTGGCAAGCTATAGTAAGTTATTTTTCCGTCTTTTAAGTGTATTATAATGTATAGTCAATGTATAACGCATGTATAAATAAACTATATATATTATATAGTAATGTATACTTCCTATGATTTTTGGCTACTTTTTATATAAATAAAACATAACTACATTTTGGTAAACTAATTATTTTATTGCATATATTTGAAACTAGCTCAATTTATAATTTGTTCGATCTATTTATGTTTGAACGGGTTAACAACCCGCTTAATTGGGTTCATTTTGACATGTTTAGTGTAGCCCATTTCAAAACTAGGCCGGCATGTTATCTAAATTGATCTATGAGAAATTTTATCTAAATATTTTTTATTAATGATTTCTTTTTAATTTGTTATGTTTTTTTTAAGGTCACTATGCAAAGGAGGGTTTTATTAGATACTCAAAATAATTAAAATAAAATTAACTTTGAATGTGTAACTTAGTAAGAGTTAGACAGGTGGAGTTATGATTATTTCAGTCCAATTTACTTTAACCCAAGTAATATTTAAGTAGGTTAACATTCCACTCCTTTATCGAGTTGTTCAACTCGTTTCGATATTCATTAATTCAGCTTAATTCATTCATTTGACATCTCTATTTATTTGTACGGGTAGAATTTATATATACACTCAAGAATAGACTTTTTTTATACATATAAAGCAGTAGGAAACTAATGACTAATGAGAGTAGAATAAAAGTCCACTTAATACACTTCATATATCAAATGCATACTCATTAATTGCTATTAAAAAAAAAAGTACACTCAAAATTATTATTTTTAAAATATATATAAAAAAAAGTCTCAAGTATTAATGTGAAGAGGTTAAGAATTTCACATATATAGAGGGGGCTTGAGTAGTTTGAATTATTAGAAACAAAAATATTTTTTAAGTTTTGATTACACGTTTGGGAAGGGAAGCCCAAGGTCAAAGAAGGGACAAACGAGGGGTTAGATTTGTGGATTTTCACTAAATTTGAAGTCCCCAAAGTGTGCCATTTTGACTCACTCAAACTTACACCTTTTAAAATTAAGTAAATAATTTGTACTATGTTTGATCAAATTAATTAAGATAATTGTTGGACTTTTTTAATACTAGTTCAAATTAAGCGATGAAATCAAAAATTTTGTTAAGGGTGTTCAAGATTTAATATATATATATATATATATATATATATATGTATGTATGAAAAATTATGTGATTGATATATTTGGTATAATTTTCTATATAATAGTATAACTTTTTGATGAAGAATATCTTATTGATTATCCTATGTGGCGTCCAAAATAAGTGAATTCATCAAAGTTCAAGCAAATTGTTGGGACTTGTTTCCATGTTTACCCTTCAACTTTGTATTTTTCTAAGAGAATAGTTTGAGCTTAATTAAAAGGGTAATAGTAGAAAGTAATCTTATATTTATGTTCTTTAAAAAAATAATTTAGCTATGTCCTACCCCTATTATAGTGTTAAGGATATGAGTTCATATTTAATATTTATTGTAATTTTTATAAATGTTTACGTATAAATATATGTTTCATGTCGAAGTACTGACTTCAAATGATTTTGACACTTGATTTACCTTTGTCTAGATATGGTTGGCAAATAAAGTAGAAGAAATTACGATAAAAACAACATACTTAGTATGATCCCTCAAATAGAATGTGGTGTGATGAAATTGACCCATATCAGATTGGGATAACATCTTATCACTCTTTTTATGGATTGGGTAATTTTTTTTCTTCTTTTTTTGAGTTAATTATTAGAATGCTAAGTTCCATTTAACATGATATCAGAGTCATATATAAATTTCGTTCTGAAACTCTGATCCCTGTGCGGTGAGTTGTGAATAAACTCCTATTACACTCCAATTTGATCGAACAACGTATCGGAGTGATGGTGTACCAAAACCCCTTATACGGCTTTGACAATAATTCTTTTTTTAGCTTATTTTTATTCAAAATTCATTTGACAGTTTATACACAAATCTTACTCCTATTGTTAAAATTGAAAAATCCTAACTAGCAAGGGTTAATAACATACTAATTTGGCAAAAAAATTCAAACTTTGAAATAGTCACATCATTATTATTATAGGTAGAGTTACATAATTGCTTTTCAATTAGCAAGAAAAATTGAGGAAATCCATGACTTGGTTTTCAATAAAGTCAGAAAATCGAAGGAAATTGACTCGTGCGGTCTTAATTAAATATATTAACTTTAAACTTAGGTAGTTGAATTTTTAGCTACCAAAAATCAAGGTAATTAATAATTACTGTATGGTAAACACAAACCTTTAACATAAATGATCATGCACGTGACAACCAAAAAACAAGAAGAGTAAAAATGGACAGGTAAACTCTACTATGATAAATATTTATTTATATCAAATCAACGAATATATGTGATGTACGTATAAATATACAATAACGCTACTTAATAATAGTTATTTAACGTGTTTACTTTATTGAATTATTTAACTACCATGAGTTACATCAATTTGATGTAATTAACACTTGAACAAGCAATAATAACTCTTTTAGGCCAAGTTTTTTTTAAAAAAATAATATTTTGAAGAGTAAAAACGATTTTATCAATATTAAAGTAGTAATTTATTTCCGAAAAAGATTTCAAAAATATTTCAAGATAAAATAGCTTCTAAAAATCAAATACAAAAAGAAAAGACAATTTCGAGCCAAAATTATAATAAATTTATGATCACAATTTTTATTTTTCTTCTTTTCTTTTAGTTTTTCTAATTATTTTTGTCTCCTAATTTAGAGAAAAATGAAAGTGGAGTGGGTATTTAGGTAACAGAGCAGTTTGGGATTCGTACAACTTTACTACTACTAATTTTAACAACTTTTTTTCTTCATTTTATAAGGCACAATATTTTAATTTTGTACCCATTTACATTTTTATTTTTACTTTTATGTTTTTTTACGACAAAATTTTATTTTTATATATGTAAGAGATTATAAGAGATCTTTATTTTTACGTGTAGAAATCTCGCTTTTGTTTATTTATAATTTTTCTCCTAGGTTTATGAGTATAGTATATCCTGTGTATTATTTAACTTATAAGAGAACTTGGAAAAAAAATTAGTTGATTCTAATTTGACATTTAAAAGTATATTATGTTTTCACAACAAGCAAATACTTTTATAAGTAAATGTTGCATATTTAATTACATTCATAAATCAAATTTATTTCCTTTCATGAGTTATAACTTCAGTTTGTTATGTTACTACAAGAAAATTGTGAATTACATTGGATTTTCAAATGAAATTAGGACGAAAATTTACAGAAAAATAAATTTCCTACAAACTTTTATACAATCCCCAGGAAAATCCTCATGTAATTTACCTTTTTTTTGTAGTGTGTATAGATGATGATAGTATATTAAATTGATAAATATCACATAATTTCAATAGACTATGTGCATCAAATAGTAGAAACTTAAATTAGTGAAAATCTTGTACATAACAAATAACCAAATATAATAATTAAAATGAAATACATAGATTAAATTAAATATAATTTAAAATAAATTAATAATATAACATCAATTCAAATTTCGCGAATGAATAAATATAAGTCATAATACAAGCATATTAATTAATAGGGAAAATTGTATAAAATTGGATGTTTGTAGCGAATTATACAAATCAAAAGCTCCATAGCAAACATAAAATTTGTTATGAAATACAGTTATGCAAACTATAGTTATAACATATAAATATGATTTTTTATGTTTAATATATATGAAAATTACAGAATAAATACATGTTATCAGCAAGCTGATACAACTACTTTAAAAAGTAAGTAATGTGTGATAAATAAGCAAATTATAGCTACTAATAATTATTATCTTCAAAGTATATACTATGAAACTATAGCTAATTTAATTTGAGATTTTCTTAGGCCTTAGGGCTTGAAAAATGTTATAACAAGAAAGTCAAAATCTTTGTAACTAAAAATTCTTTTGAATTTATTAGTGGACCTCAATATGGTCAAGTAGGGTATCAAGTATAACACTAATTTTAATTTTATGACATGTTATCCCTAAAATACCCCTCAAATTATCATAATTAAGATAATAAGCATCCCTTAATTACCTTAGCTGGAAGAGTATCTTTTAGTATAATATATAGTCAATTACTTACTTTAGCAGAAACTGTATTTAATCTGACAAGTCAGTGGAATAGAAGCTGTGAAAGAATGGAATAGAAGGAAATAGATTTTTTGGATCCTGAGATAACTATATAGTTTTCTAAAATTATATATTTTAAAAAATTAAGTCTGAGACTATTCACATAGGGAATTTTACATGTTGAATATAATTTTGTGCTTTTGTATTGATAAATGTGCATTTGGTCTGTGACTCTAATTGTTTTCAAAATAGTTATTCAAAATTAGCAAATTGATAAAATATATATAACTACTTGGAAGTTTAATTTGTCTTGATGTACACACATTAATTATTTATATATCTTGACATATTAAAGATCAATTTATTGTGTAGTCATGAAACAAACATTTAATAATATCATATCCCTATAAGGGTCAATTTAGTGAGTTTCTTGAGATTCTTAAATTTGGAATAAACAAAATACAAATTGGTACAACAAGACATTGAAGTGAGAAATAAGAGTCATTGCTGGGAATTCATTATTTTTCTTTACCTTATAGTAGTTCATTTGGTAGGTGATTAATTCTAATTGACATTATTTCCCCCTTTTTTTTCCTTTAGTTTCACCTAAAAGAAATAACTAAAAGTATTAATTGTCCATTAAATATGAGGTAAACATAAGTTTGAGTGACGAATTCAGAAATTCAAACAAAATAATAATGACACACGTCGTAGTTGAACCTATAGTTCTTGTGTTAAGGAGATTATATATATATATATATATATAAAAGAAACTATATCAAATTTATACAGATTAATTTTTTTGATGTATTTATTTTAACAGGATTTTAACTTATTTTAAGTTTGATTGAAATAAAATCGCAAAATTACTTATACCAAAATTGTAATCTATGATAACTAATCTCAAAATAACTTGTTCCTCAATGAAATAAACTCCGATACTGCTAAGAGATTTTACAATATATGTGCACATAAGCCAAATGTATTTTTCTAGTTTTTTGAAAAAACTGAGAATAGGGGAAGGGAAATGGGGAGAGATTATACGTAGAAAATCGAAATTTCACCAATAAAATAAGAGTTCTAGTGATCAACATCACGTAAGACATATAAAAATTTCAATAAAGTAAGAGTTCTAGTGATCAACATCACGTAGGACATATAAAAATTCTTTACACTATCAGTATACGTGATACACACAAAACAATAATAATTTGCTTAACCAAAGATAAAGCCAAAATTGGTACTTGCCAAAGAAGGGGCAAGCAAGTAGAGATAGAGCTATTAAAGTCAGCAGAAAAGTCGGCTGATCTTTAGGAGGAAGACCCCTCTTTAGGAACCATATAATCCACTTTCTTAATTCACAAACTTAAAACACATTTTCTCTCTTCAACTTATAAACTTTTCTTCTTCAACAACAACAACAACAATATTAGGGTTTCATCAATAGTTATAAGTTTTACTTAAACAAGTTTTGTTTTTGTTTAGTAAAAAAAGGTTGTGTAAGGTAGGTAGGTGTATTAGGGTTTGTTCTATTGGTCTTTTAGGGTTTTTTAATGGAAGAAAGAAATGATAAAGAGAAAAATATGGATGAAGTGATGCTTCCAGGGTTTAGGTTTCATCCAACTGATGAAGAATTAGTAGGGTTTTATCTAAGGAGGAAAGTTCAACAAAAACCAATATCTATTGAACTTATCAAGCAACTTGATATCTATAAATATGATCCATGGGATCTACCAAGTAAGACTACATATCATATATCCATCTTCATGCTTCTTCTTTGCTTTGTTTTCTATCCAGTGTCCAGTACTCGTATTAGAATCTGACTATATCTGAATCGCGTGTTACAAGGTCCATTGCATTTTTCATATTTAGGGCTCAAACTCTACTTAAATCTGACTCGTATTATTATTTTTCAAACAAAATAATAATACTAAGCTTGTTTGTAAAATGTTATAGCTTTTGCATCAAGACTTCATTGGGTTTTTACTACTTTGTTTTTTTTGGATTTAACTCATATATACACACGATCAGTATAATTTAACATGTTATAACAGATAATATGTTTGACTTTTCAAGGTGTGAATACCTTTTGTAATTATTTTTTTACATAAAAGTTTAGCTTGTATATACTGACAATAATGTTTATTTACAAATAATTTTTTTTTTTAATTATGTCCTTATAAGATGAAACATAGGTAACAACTCTTTTGTTGTTTTTTTCTTAGCAGAGTTGGCAGCAGTGGGAGAAAAAGAATGGTATTTTTATTGTCCAAGGGATAGAAAATATAGAAATAGTGCAAGACCAAATAGAGTAACTGGAGCTGGTTTTTGGAAAGCAACAGGTACTGATAGGCCAATTTATTCATCTGAAGGATCAAAATGTATTGGATTGAAAAAATCACTTGTTTTCTACAAAGGAAGAGCTGCAAAAGGGATTAAAACTGATTGGATGATGCATGAGTTTAGATTGCCTTCTATTACTGACTCAAATGCACCAAAAAGATTCTTGGACAAACATATACCTCCTAATGTAAGTCTCTCTAAACAAATCACTAATCATTTTTTTTATATTATCAATATATTTTAACATGTTGTAGTACGTAACACATATTTAATAGATATAGTCTCATGAGTGAGATCTGGAGAAAGTGGGATGTATGCAAATATACCTCTCAGGGGTAGAGAGAGGTGGTTTTCGATAAATAGTTTCTTTTGTTATAAAGAGATTAAGTTTTATATATTGTTAGTGTAATCTTTTAACACTATGTAGTCATTAAAAAAAATAAAAATTTACTGGTAAAGATCTTGAAAATAAGATATGTTATCTGTTATAATAGGTGAAAATAATTTGATAGTGTTACACTGATGATGTATATTGCTCCTACTTAATTAAACTCTGTGACATACTCTTTTTTAATTAATAAATTTAACTTATATATCGTGACAGTAAAATTAATTTATTTACATTAAGTAATTAACATGTTATTTACATAATCAATCTTATTTTTTAAGTTAATAATCTTATTTTGTGGAACTTCCCATAATTATTTTTTAGTTGACTTGATAATATAATTTTTTTATATATATATTATTTAATTATTGTTATTAGTGTATAGAAGTTGAAGTTTTTATTAATGTAATTTTTTGTATTTTTTTTGGTTGAATATTTTAGGACTCATGGGCAATATGCAGGATTTTCAAGAAAGCAAACTCCAATGCACATAGAGCTCTTTCTCATTCTTGGGTATCACCACCACAATTACTACCTCAAAATAACACAACATCTCATGATTTTCTAACAAGTAGCCATTTTACTAATAATTCAAATGAAATGTCATCATTTATACACAAAACAACCAGTACTACTTCACCTATCCAATTTAATGACTTATTACAAAACTCATCCAACAATAATATGTCTAGTACCTTCACCACACTAGATCTCCCTCTTTACAAAACCCTTAACTCATTGTCAAACCACAATAATGACCCTATCACAAGTTACACATTTTCTTCATCATGTGTTGACAATATGAACAATATTGATGCTTCTTCTTTGCTTCTAAACATGTCATCTTCTATATTTGGAGATTATTCCATCGCGTTACCGGAGAATATAGAAGGTGGTGGTGGTGGTGGTGTTCATGATGATACAACTACAACAACATTGAAGGAAGCTAATAATGTTATAATCAACAACATGGAACATATGGAGGAATTACAATGGGGAAATGTTGTTAGGTCTAATAATATTGGGTTGATGAATAATTTTCCATTGAATATGGCTGCTGATGCATGGAAGACAAATTTGCTTTGGGATTCTTCATCACCTTGTCCTAGTAGTGAAATGTCTACAAGCTATTCTACTAACAAATGTTACACTTGAAAAGTAACATGACCTACTACTAATTTTTAGTCATGTTGTGTTTTTTTAGTTTCAACAAGTTAGCCTTTTTTGTTTTCTTTCTTTTGGATTTTTGTTTTTGTGTACTTTTTAGTTTGGACTTAGTTTTTAGTTTTGGATTAGTGTTGTAAAAACTCTCTAATGTAGGTTTTTCAATTGATTCATGACTAATCAAATCATTTGTATTTCCTCTAAAGGTTTTGGCCTTAGATTAAATCCAAGAACATTAATTTTCATGTTCTATACTAGAAGTTGTAAAATTAGCTTGTGAAAACATGATATATCCTACTCATAATTGATTCGTTTATTTATCAGCTTATCTCATTATAGGTCATCTAAAAATTGGGTTGATATATAGCTCAAATTGACCCATTGAAACTTTGGCAAAATATTTTGTGATTTTTTTAAAAAATTGATATGTTATATACAGCCATAATACAGATGAAATAGTTTATTATGTACTTAAACATATTAAAAAGAACAAATAAAGAAATTAAAACTTAATAAGAACAAAACGGATTGAGTTATGATGACCCGTTTTTGGTTCAACTCATTTCAACTGAAGAAGACTCGCTTATTTATTAACACAACTCATTTTAATATGCTCAAATTCAATTCAAGACACTCATTTAATACTAATATATATGAGTCAATATTTTTTCATGTGCTTTATAGAGCCTTTCATTTAGTTCGTCTTTATTGTTCTTTTGTTTTCTTTCACTTTTTCTTGTTTGTCACCAAAAAATTGCTATGACATGACATATTTTAACTCTAATTAAAATAGTATATTGTGATTCATTGCTAGTTTTACAAGCAAGCTGATATTACTATATCATATAGTCTATATATGGATGTATCCTTACTATATACTCTTAGTCATTAATTAAATGCACATTATTATTATTTTTATAAGTTTCAATTTTATTTATTTTATTTGGCAAGCACCAAGATTGGTGTCGGTTTGAGAAAATGATCATGTAAAGATTTGATTCCGTTTACAGATTTTTCTGTATTGTTTTTAATGATTTTCTTATAAAAATAGTGACATAAATATATCAATATTTGATTTGATTATCAAGCCAAATCTCTCTACTCTATTATATGTAGCTAACGTAGAAATCTCACATCTAGAATTAGAGAAATCAAGAATTGTATTGATTATAATGTTGAGTACATACTCTATTTTTGTCGATTCGTTATATTAGGTATAACCACCCGATGCGAATAAGTTTTAGAACTCCATTTCAAACCGTTAGCTTAACTTTGACTCAAGATCTATGGATTTACCCTTTAGAGATTTACTTGTGAACAAACAACTTGGGCTTAATCAACGTGGATTTTTGTGGGATGGTTGGAATTCCTTTACTCGGACTCGAATTCCAACTGTGCATAGAAAAGATTTTGTTAGGATAGCTGCCTCCAAAATGAGTCCTCTTGCAACGAACAATCTAGATATAGTCGAGCTTCAATGCGGTACGAAGAGAAAATAAGTTTTTCTTAAAAATAAAGAATTGGACTTGAATGTCATTCATCATCGTATCAAATTGTTGTATCCATAAGTTTAGTTATTTATGTGATTTTTTGAACTTTAATTTATGAATTGAGTCTTGAGGTATTGGAGTCACAAGTAGTGGGCCTTAGTACGTCCCGATAAAAGGACCAAGCCCATCATAGATAATGTTGGGCCGAACTTAATTTGATTTGCCATTGTCTTGATCGGGTTGCCACGTCATTTGATCATGTAACTTCATTTAATTGGCCTTTAAGGGAGACATATTTATAAACCATTTTGTCAAGTCATATCAAAGTTGTTCCTGAAGTGAGTAAACTTTACGATAACAAAAAAATTATAGTTGCCAAGTACAAAGCCTTAAAAAGCCAAAGTTAAATTATAAATAAACTATTACGACCAGAAAATTAAATTAATTAACATGTTACTCGATCGCTTCAAAAATATCATCGGAGACATTTTTACTCAGGTGCACCAAGTTTTACAATCAACTTAGACTAAACTATTATCTTATTATTCAGTGTATATTTGTATGCTTGGGTATGATAAAATCGGAACTATAGCCTTAAATAACTAATACCTTCGTAACTCTATTATTAGAAACCAGATATTGCACTCTGGTTTGCAAAAAGTTGCTTCCTGCTGATACTGACTAGAAAAACACAGTATTAACAGATGTAAAACATTGATTCATAGAGATTGAAAATGTATCAAAACAAACTCAGATTCAAGTATAAACTGATTTAAGAATCAAAACTGGAACGAATAGCCTAATTGAATAGAAGTTGCAAATATCCATAACAAGTTTAAATATTCAGAACAAGAAAATAGAGATACCTAGGAGAACGGATATTTCGACAAACTGAAGAAAGACCTCCAATATCGTATTTTAACGAAAAACCAGCAACATACAAATCTCAAGACCAAAAATCAAAATACAGTCATGATTTCCTAGAAACCTGCAGTATCAGAAACTCCTCTCACGACATCATCGAGGATTCAAGGCTTAGCTCTTGGATGCTAGCTTTTCCTTGGCTTTCTGGATCTTCAAAACCTTCTTCACGATCTTTTGTTCTTCAACCAAAAAGGCTCTGATGATCCTGTTGTACAAGAAAACATCTAGTGAGTTGGAAGAACACTAATTTTGTTTAAACGGTTTGAGAACACTCTAGTGGACCAAAACTATACCTTTCACGTACAGCACTGCCGGACAACACACCACCATAAGCACGGTTCACAGTCCTCCTGTTCCTAGATAACCTGGATCTCTTGTACTCAGCAGGTCTCAAGTGTGGAATCTGCAAAAAGAGAAGTCTTTAAGCCATTGAAATGATGACTCCTAAAACAACTATACAATCAAAAGCAGTAGGCATTTGCATTCATGTTTAAAATATTAACTGCTGATAGCTACAGAGAACATGTGTTACGTGATGCGGAAGTAATCTGCCTCAAACCATTAGAAAATGTTACACTGATAATATTCTAGGTACATGAAATTTTTTTTTTGAGATGCACTGATAGCTACAGAGAACATCTGTTAGTTGATGAGGAAGTAATCTGCCTCAAACCATTAGAAAATGTTACACTGATGATATTGTAGAAGTACATAAAAATAAATTGAGATGCATTTAGGCATAATACATTTAATAAAGGGAAGTTGACCAAAAACGCTTTACCCTTTGTTATACTTGGGACTCATACACTTTTTTGTATAACATTGATAATCAGGCACAGCTTGATGAGGTTATCATACACTTGTGCAAGCAAATTGTCTCGGATTTGCAGCCTATTAGGTTCCAACTTGAAGTATAATAGAGGGTATTTTAAAACAATAGCAAGTATAGAGGCGAAATTTCAACCTTTATACCAAAGTAATTTCAAAGGTGGAAGTGGAATGCACTCTGTCTATGCTAGAGCTCAACGGCAAGGGTATGATGGCACCAAAATATAAAGGATAAAGTAAAATGAGTATATTTTGCACAATAGAGGGATAACTTCATCCATTTCTCTATATTGAAAAACTGCATGTTAAATAAGATGTCATATAGTTAAATCATGTTATCAGGAGTCACAAAGATAACCTATCAGCAAATTACATGCTATTCTTGAGGGAATAGCTGACGTATAAGCCAAAAGAACTTACAAATTAAATTACACGCACAGGAAAGGTTAATATGAGATTGCTAAGAAGTAAAGTCAAACATGACCCGAAATAGTTTGACAATTCCAAATGCAACGCATCGTCCGCACCAACTATGAATAGCTTTCTCCCAACACAATCTATCATTGGATTTTTTTACCCAAAGATGCTGATAATAGTACAAGAAAAATGTTCCCTTTGGATTGATATTCAAAACACATACGGTTATCCAGGTAAGTCACAATAACCAATACTATCCTGAATTCCACAGCAAAGTTATGTTATATTAACACTACCATACATTTCCAGAGAGCTGAAAACTCAAGTCTTTAATTTATTCTCTATTAAATAATAAATCAATTAGATCACAAATAGATGGATCAATCAACTACAAGTTAACCCCAAATAAGTCAGGTTTCATCAGTCTTCTATAATCATTACTCCCTGTACAGGTCCATTCCTTGCAATATCAAATATACAGTTATTATACCTCATTATAATCCACTCCAAACTAGCAAATATTAGTACTCATTAGCAAACTGTGGCATAGGATCAACACAACAACAACGCACCAAGTGCAATCCCAAACCTAAAAGTGGGTCGAGGGAGTGCAGTGTTTACGCAAATCTTACCCCTTACATTGGTCAGTAGAGAGGCTCTTTCTGATAAAAACTCAGTTCCAGGATGGTTTAGAATCAGCACATCCAAGATAAATCTAATACTCATAATAGATAACAGGATTTCTACCTGAGCACAATTCTATCATCAGACGCAAACACATTCCAGAAATAACAGTATTTGCAAACAGACCAATCAATATCTACCAACGACATTCATTAAAAACAGTATGAACACAAAATAAAACAGCAAAAAAAACATACCCCTTGAATTCTCTTTCCAGTTACAGGGCACTTAGGTCCATTAGCCCTCTTCTTCGTAGTCTGGTAAATCAGCTTTCCACCTATTCAAAATTCAATTTTTCAAACATCCAAACACAAAAAAAGCACAAACTTTCTTCAATATCCAAACACCCACATCCCATAAAAAAAACACATCTTTTTCCTTTTCCTCATCTTTCACGCACCTCAACTAACCCCACAGATAAAAAACAAGAAATGCAACAACAAATAATAAACCATACCTGGGGTTTTCACAACCCTATGTTGGTTCGACTTGGTTGCATAGCTATGCCGTTTACGGTAAGTAAGCCGTTGCACCATTTTTGACGGCGGCTCTGTTACTCTACTCTCTGGTTTTTAGAGGCTGAAGAAGAAGAGGCTAAATGAAAGGGAAAAATATATGTAGTGTTTATATAAGGGGAAAAAAGCCCTAGATCCTACGGCTGATATTGGATCATAGAAATTGCCTATTAAACTAATAAGCCCATTAATAGTTATGGGCTTTTAAGTAGGTCTATTGTGATTGAGGTGGAATTGGGCTTGGGCTTAGAATACTCATACTCTAAACCCAACGTGCAAATGGACTTCCCCAATTTAGAGCTTGTTCGAATTAACTTATTTTAGGATAAATTTTAGAAAATCACATAGTTTAATATAGGGCAACTTTTACATATAGCAAACAAAAAATTCATATTTGTATGTTATAGCAAACTTTGCATAATTGCGCTCCATAGTAAACATAAAACTGTATAATTTGC